CCCCCCCCCCCTGCTTGATTGACCTGCAGAGGGGTAAAGAGTCTTACAAAAACGCACGACAGCCGGTGATGGAGGAGCCATGGAGCTTCACGGCGGATGCCAAGAGATCCAAGAAGCGGACACGGTTCAACCTGCTGGCTCTGGAACACGATGAGTACTATTTCCAGGTGCAAACGCAGCTCATGTTTAGGAAGCAAACGCGGAAGGATTCCGTTCAAAATTAGACTGGCGGGGTAAGCCTCAGTTGTTGCTACAAGCAGTTCGGCACGATCTATGATGGCATGATGACCGTAACATGGCGGGGTTTGCTTGGCGGTGGGTCCCGACACGTCCATCGCAGTCTTGAGTGCTGTCGCCTATCGCGCATTTTACGGTTGCGGGCCATATGTTCGGGTGATGCATACTCCTCTTCACTATACCGCCACGTGCGGTATGCGTGGGCCCTCCATAGCGCGGTATTGTAGCTCCGCCTCTGAGCTTCACGCTTCCTGGCGCGTTGAACCTTGAGCGATGTAGTATGGGTGCAGCTCACCCTCGTTTGAGTGTCTCCACCATCCAGCATTCGCTTGGTCGTGTGGAACACAGGGGTTAAGCGGTGCAGCAGCGGGAAAGGGGCGGTGCTTCCGACTGTTGTTCCCGCGTGTGATATATTTTTGGAAGTCAAGTAAAAGAGCAGCTCTTTAAGTCAGCGAGCGAGACTTTCTTGTTGGTGCCGTTGCAGAGCGGTACATCTGTGAAGTCGTGACAGATGTTGGGGTTGCGATGCATGAGAGGTATTTGCTGCGGTCGTGCAGCGGGGATGGGGGGGCAAAGTAGGATTGCTGCCCAATGGACACATGGGGACATCAGCAGCAACAATACACACGCTTCCACCAAAATACACGACCCCGCTAGGTACAGCAGCTGTAAGCATGAGCAAGCCGCTGTCAAGGGTAACGAAAAGCATGAACGCGTCTTTTCGTGTGACGGTAGTGCTGCACGTAGACAGACGATAAACAATCTCTTTTTTCAAAAACAAGTGAGATGTTGCCTTTCCCCCGCCCTTGTGTGGTGTTGCAGTATTGCACTGTTGTCAGCATTTCACCCTTTCGCCGCCGCTACAAAGCCAGCAATTGTTGCACCTACCACAAGCAAAACAACAGCAAAATCTACATGTCTACCGGCTCACATAACTTTGGTGCAAGCTCTTCCGAGTACCAGCGATGTTATCAGAGATGTAGATAGTCTCTAGCGATACAGGGTGTGCACCGAGCCACCGTCTGCACGGCTACAACGAACACGACTCTTCCGAACTATTACACAGTCAATTGCACCATGCATATCAGACACCTTAGGTGCTCTCGTGAGCAGGGTGCATGGGTACCCCACCTTACAACTGACGGTAAATCTTGATTATTTGGTGTGTAGACGATGTCATCGCCTGTCACTTGCTTTTTCATGAAGCGGCGCAATGACTCCCGTGGCGTTTTCACTTTCACCAGCCCCCGCGCAGCTCTGTGTCGCCCGATTTTCCGGATATTCCCGGAAGATGGCGATGTTGGAGACTCCTAACGTCCAGCATTACGTCTTCTCTACTACTGCTGAAATGCGTTGTTCGGTTCTGATACCTGCCCCCATCGTCCCTATTGAGGATACGTCGAGTTCCGACACTCGCTGGGAAGGCGGAGGGGGGGGGGGGGG